CAATACAAATTTTCAAACACTATAAACACTTGTTTAAATTTCTAGTAATGATATCATATCACTTCTATTATTCGAACTTTTTACAGTTTTTGGAAAGTTTAAGTTTTAGAGGGTTTTGGAGACTTTGTTTTAAGACCTTGAAGATTCAAAGGGTTTCAACCCCAAGAAATTGGACGTGGGTCACCAAGATTCTTCACTTTTGACGTGTTTTAAAACTTAATTCTTCATACCCAATTGATGGAAACTGATATTGGTATAAATTTTTATCTCTTTTACATGTTTAGCTAAAACCCCAATTCTTGGGGTGTGATTTTGTGAATATGGGTTAAATTATTTGTTGGGTCTTGCTTATTGATGGTTTATTTGTTGTTTAAATGTGTTTCGTTTAGTAGTTATGTATGAACTTAATGGGATTTTAGTTGCAAATACGATTTCATCTTAGTGTTTTTGGCTTGCTCGAGAGAGAGGTTGTAAAACTAAGACTACTAGATTGATAGTCGGTGGTATTGGGTCAACATGGGTTCAACTCGAGAGAGTGAACCCTAGTCCTTCTCCCACACATTCAGCTCGAGAGAGTGAATAGGCTAAGGCGGAGGCAGTGCTTAATGCGGCAAATCAGTGTTCAAGAGAAACTGAGTTGATTCGGGGTAAGTTGTTTGAGAGAGAATTTACCCTTACTATAGTCTAGCCTAGTCACAAATGTTCAACAATTTACTATCAAAAGCATGTACCCGATAGTCTAGTTTATCCCGTATTCCTATCACATCCCAAGAATCCCGTCTCCATATCTAGTTTCCTTACATTTTTGCTCTTTTTAGTTGTTAGTTAATACAAACCCCCATTGATAATTGACGTTTGCGTCACTCCTTAGATTTAGTATGTTTTTATTCATTACTATTTATAGCTATGACTAATTAGAACTTGATTTTATTTTTCTACTAATTCTCAAAACCACTCCTGGGAACGGTCCCAACCCTTGGTTGAGTTATATCACTACACGCGATCATTTGGCACTTGAATCGAAATAGTGTCAGTTGATTACATCGAACATCAGTGTCGCCGCTAATGAATTTATTGCCTTTTCCTTAGTTGTTCATGTCACTGCGTAGGATACATCTACCCCATGGTTTAGTCTAACATCACCTTGTATATTTTTTGGTATTAACTTCCTTTTACGATTTACTAGTTTGGGCTGATTATCCCTCCAACAAGACTGTTTGTTGCTTGTTACTGACAATACACCTGGTCTTTCAAGGGACATGTATGTTCATTTATGAACTTCTTATTCTAAACATTTCCAATGTATTGATATCAGATGACTTCATTATTCATCCACAGTTCTTAGACATAGAAACAAGTGTATAAATATTCGAACGATTAATGATACAAATACACATAATATATTACAAGATGATCATCAGTAGAACAAATAATTAAGTATGCAAATATAAAAGTATACAAATATACATACCTGATTTAAATTGATTTGTCTGTTTTTCACTGGAACCTATGATCAATGGCATATTGCATTATCACAGCTTTTAAAGCTCCCTTGTCCCTGTAAACTTCATCTACCATTACTTCATTTTAATTGATGTTTAAAATAATATCAAAATTTATCATATTTCTCACGAATGGCACACCAAGCACTAATGCTTATGTATCAGCTGTATCACCTCCATCTATTCCACATATTTCAACCCCGTCTTCATCTAGATTTCTATCAGTTAATTCACAATCCTTCACAAATATAGTTACACAAAGGGGGATACTTTATCAAATCCTTGTTATCTTTCTTCTGCGACATATACACTCTTACACAATTTTCGTTGTGTATTCTCAAAGGGGCATTACTACCTTCTATCTTATATTTAAGCTCATACAATTGTATCTCAAATCAGCACTAATTTGTTTAGCAATTTTCTCCATTAAATCTCTAAATGTTGCATACGTTTTCATCATAATTGCCTCTATTTGTGTAATTAATGTAGAAATTTTTTTCGTTCCATCTTTTAAAATGTATGATCAGAATACTAATGCTCCCCATAACTACATTATATTCCAACAATCTTTGCCTCCAAGTCATTAATACATACATATTTACATTCATGTAACAAACACAATTCGTATTTCTGAAAAGTATACGCAATAATTGAGAAATGTATGTATTTTATTTTCTTGTAGTCAAGTTTAATAATTGTATCCTAGTAATGTCCCTTCGGGGACATCCGATAAAATTGGAACGAATCTAGCATGGCCCCCAATACAACCAAATTAATATTCATGGTAACAAACACACTTTGTATTTTAAAAAAAATTGTATTCCAGAACTATCAAATATATTTATCTTTTTTTTTCTATTTCAAAAATATATTATAATCAATGTATACTTTGTATAACATTCATTAAATTGTATGCCAAATTATTTCAATAATTACCTGAATGTATCCTAACCACAAATGATCTTGTATTTTAAACAATCAGCTACAAAATACTATTATGAACTACAAATTTGTATTCAATATATTTTGTTCAAAATTCAGTCAAACCGACAATTCTTCAATCACACTAAGAATCACAAACTTATTATTGTATACAAACAAATTGCATTCATATTTATTTTGTAGTCAAAAAAGCAAACATACAAAATTTCAAATCCATTCAAAGATTCTGACTATTTTATCACAAAAATAAATTATTTAGGATAATCAAAATGTATTCATGTTAAAACTTTCAATAGCCATATTTGAAACACTTCCAAACAAATTAATGATTCACCGAGTTAATGAATACCCGATTGATTATGTATTTTACCGATTATCTCGAAGATCAAGTTGAAAATTTTGTGCCAAATATGTATTTCACCGAAATTATAATCGATTATTTCAAAATCTTCTTCACCGCAAACAAAAACTCAAATAAATAGACTTTTCGACATAGATTGAGTATTATCAATAGAGTGTTAAAAGTTGATATTGAATTTTGAGGAATAAGGGAGAGAGGCGCCTTATCGATTATTGTTTGGAACGTAATTGATTAAGAATTTCAGTGATATTTACCTTATTTGAAATATTATTTCCCCTGATTTTCTCCAATTTGATATTACCTAATTATATTCTGCCAAATTAAACAATATATTTGTTTTTTTATACATAAGTCAGCTCTACAACAAACTAAAATATAATTATTTTTAATAAATATTAAAAATATGATTAAAAGATCCGGTTAAATACTAAAGAGTAAATTTTAGGTTTAACAAACATAAAAATTATAATTGTGTGTTATAGCTATAATTTGTATAATTGCGCTCTATAACAAACTTTATATTTGTTATGGCTATTAATTTGTATATTTTGGTATACATATACATAAAAAATCTGTATTTGGGTCTATTTGTATATTTTGGAATATAAATGTGTCCTGCATTTGTATATTTTGGTATACAAATGGGTCCTGCATTTGGATATTTTTGTTAAAAAATCTGTATTTGAGTCTATTTGTATATTTCAGTATACAAATGAGTCATGCATTTATATATTTTGGTATACAAATGGGTCCTGCATTGGTATATTTTGATATACAAATGGGTCCTGCATTGGTATATTTCAGTTAAAAATCTGTATTTAGATCTATTTGTATATTTCGATATACAAATGAGTCATGCATTTGTATATTTCGGTATACAAATGGGTCATGTATTTGTATATTTCGGTATACAAATGGGTCATGTATTTGTATATTTCGGTATACAAATGGGTCATGTATTTGTATATTTCGGTATACAAATGGGTCATGTGGCAAAAAACATGAAATGTTTATTGCGAATTACAAATAAAAGAAACTATGACTATATCATTCAATTTGAATTAAATAATTTGCTATTTCATACAATTTTCCAATACTAAAATATACAAAAAAATTCCCTTAAAAGGACACAAAAGTTCAGAAGCATCTATTAGGGTCTATTTGGAAAGCCACTTGGTAATTGGAATTGGTGTAATTACTAGGGTAGTAATTACCAGCCTAGTAATTACACTGTCTAGTAATTACACTGACCTGTTTGGTTGCCACAGTTTAATTACACTGTAATTACACATGTCCTGTTTGGATACCACAATGTAATTACACATGTTCTGTTTGGATGCACAATTGCAATTATAAAATTATAATAAATTTTAAAAATAAAAATTAATTATTTAAAATTTATACTAGACAAATAAGAAACTTTATAAATGACATTAAATTAAATATTTAAGATATATATTCTTGTTTGAAAATATATTAATTAATAAACATATTTTCTGTAACTACTATTATGAAAAAATAATTGATTTATATTTTTTCAAATTAATATATTTCAATTGAATTGATCGTAACAACTAAAAATATGAAGTTTCTACGAATATTGTAAAATGCATGTTTGATAAAAAGAATAATATATAAATAAAATGTCATAAATTATTAAATGTTTGACAAAAATATAATCTATTAAGTCTAATTAAAAAATGACGTACAATATAAATTCAATATTACTAAAGCAAATGAAACTGAAAATATACCATAAGTTATAAATTCAAAACAAAAAATTTAACATAATACTCTTATAATAAATTTCAACATAGCAATAAATATGATTTATTTTTATTTTTTCTTAATAAAGAAAACGTAAGTCTATAACTTACTTAACAATAAATTATATTTTAATTTAAAAATTTGAATACTAATAAAATTATGCTAATGAGAAAATAAGCATGTCATAAAGAAATAGATAATACGAGAAAATTACATAGAATCATGTAAAGTAAGGTTGAGAATAAAAAGAAAATGAAATATAATAATATAATATAAAAATAAACTTTTACAAAATTTTAGAATAATAAAAATAAAAAAAGAAGTTAAAATAATAGAAGTAAAAAAAATTAAAACAAAAAAAAATAAATTAAAAAGTAATCAGGTGGTAGTAATTACACCCTTAATAGCAAATCAATTTCAGTAGGAAAACCAAGAAAAAAAGAAACCAGTATCATCAGCGAGCCGTCGCCGGAGTTTCACTCTCGCCGTTGGCCCAAAAGAAGCGGTTGAACAGATCAAAATGGTCTCGTCGGCTATAGTGAACACATACCCACTCTCTAGCTATACATTTGGTACGAAAGAGCATAAAATGGAGAAGGATACATCCGTTGCCGATCGCCTTGCTCGTATGAAAGTCAAGTACGTTCCTTTTCCTTTAACTTTCCTTTTGTTCTTCAAAATTTTCTTGTCGTTATAGCACTTGGACTAAGTGATTCCCTAAAACCCTAGATTAAACCCTTTCAGTACTTAATACTGTTCTGTTTATTTGGACGCATCTCAATCTAATACTTAATTATTTGGATTAACAAATTAATAGGCGTTTAGACAATATTTGAATTGAAATTGTTTTTGAACTTGAATTTCATTTTGAAATGATGGTTTTGTGAAAGTTGTAGATTTCACTTAGAATACATCATCAACAAGAACATACACAGTGTAATCTCACAAGTAGGGTCTGCGGAGGGTAGAGTGTATATAGATCTTGCCCCTATCTTGGGATGTAGAGAGACTGTTTTCGACGGACCTTAGACTCAATATTTTAGTATTGCACTTGAAATTCAGAGAAGTTCAGCATCACACTTAAGCATTTTTGCAAAAATACCTAAGTTTAGTATTCATGCCTAAACTGGTACTAAGGTTCTCTAGTACTCAATGTGTTCTACCTTTTTTTTTATTAACAAACATCTAAGATAAGGTATTGTTTGCAGCTACATGAAGGAGGGAGTAAGGACAAGTGTTGAAGGAATTCTCTTGGTATGGTTCTTCATTCTTCATTTCAATTTTTAATGCTTCTATTCGCGTTAGCTTTAATCTCACCCCTTTTTGATAGTACTGTCACTTTTTCCGAAGCCTCCCCCCCAATAAAAAAAAGAGAAGAAAAAACCTCTGGGGTGGATGTATATGTCTAGTTTTGTCCTAGATGCTGACTTATGTTCTGTGTGCTGCATCTTGTTGCTAGTTTATTGTCACTTATAAAGCAGACAAGTTTTGTTTACAATGCACCTAGATGCGAATCTCAACGGGCAACATGAGAGAATAGTTTTAGGAAAATTTCCTGAAATTTGAACTGAATTCCCTAAGCTCAAGTGGCTGTTTTTCAACTAATCTGCCGTATTTTCAAGTTATGGATATTGATTGTTACAAACATTACTAGGAGGGATAACATTAGGAAGGAGGATATTCGGGACAAGGTGGAGTGATCTCCGTGTTGGAAACGATGCCGGGAACGAGATTGAGATGGTTCGGGCATGTGAAGAGGGGGAACATAGATGCCTCATTGAGGAGGTGTGAGAGTGGCAGTGAAAGGTTTGGGGAGCGGTAGAAGAAGAATCGGGGAGAGGTGATTAGACATGATATGACACATCTTCCGCTCACCAAGGGCATGATACTAGATAGGAGAAAGGGGAGGTCGAAGATTTGGGTAGAAGGTTAGTAGGTAGTTAAGCGTTGTCTCTCTTATCTGTGGGTGAGCTTGGCGCTAGTTTAGAACACTTTATTTGCTTACCTTTCCCTTATCTGTCTCACTACTATTGTGTGTGTTCTTTTTTTACTTTGCTTATCTCTACTATTTTTTGTTGTCAATACTTTACTCGTCTTCCGTGTTTTTCAACATAGGTTTTCACTCTTGTTTTTTTTTTTGAAAAGTTTTCACCCTTGGATTTCTCAAACCTGTTTTGAAAATTCTTTTCTCGAGCCGAGGGTCTTATAAAAAACAACCCCTCTACCTTACCTAAGGTAGGAGTAAGGTTTGCGTGCACCCCACCCTCTCCGGACCCGATTTATGGGATCACAGGTATGTTGTTGTTGTAATACTTTACCGAGGTAATGTCAGAAATTGTACAACATGCCCGAAACCTGTTAGGGAAGAGTTAAGAAAGTATCTTGGAAATAATAATGAGATCAGACGAATCATCACATGCTTATTTTGATGATCAATGCCACCTTTTTCAAAATCTAAAAAAGTGGGCGATGAATTTATTACTGTATACAAGTATATGTTGACTTGTAGATAAATTTGGCTATTAGACAGAAGGAAAAAATGTCACGAGGTAAAAAGAAAAAGGAACAGACAGATACTCATTTTGTGGCTTCCCTTTCATGTCTAATAGCCATTTGATTTCCAAAAGGTTCATTGGCATGCTCACGTCTTCATCTATCCTTCCATTCTCTTGAAATAACGAGCGTATATATCTAAATTATTTGCATTTTGATACCTCAATCTCGTCTAGTCTTGACCTCATCTTTGCTCTTCTCAATGTTGACTAATGACTAACCTTGGTGTGCATTTATTCAGTTTTACTTCCGTTTATCCTAAAGCCTTTTGGAGTCGTTTGATTTTAAAAACAAGTTGCACAATGATTGTAATACATGGATTAATAATGTAGGGATTGTGAATCTAAAAATAAAAATAAAAATGTAGGGATTGTGATGCAAAGATTATTTTTTATCAGGTGTTTGGTTCATTGCATTGAAAATGAGATATGTAGTGTATAATTTAAATCATGTGTTTGGTCTTAAGTTAGATAATTTTTTGTTTCCAATTATACTCTTGGTCCTTGAAGAAAGAGAAATGACCAAGGTATTAAAAAACTTTGGAGAGAAGGAAATTTTGTCAATTCGATTATTTTTCATGTGTAACTAATCAATGTAATGCTTATCCCACATAGGAAATGGTATATAATAAAACGATGATTCCTGTATAAGTTATACAATGATTATTATACCAAGAAAGAAAATAGAAACCAAACAGAGGAACAAACGTTGTACAGTTCTATACTATAACTACTTTATCCTATACTGCAAATCGGACGACCCCTTACTCTCTAAAGTATTTCTCCCTAGTTCAAGTGCTTTTGGTTGACACCTCCCTGGTTTCATCAATTAAGTGAATTGGCACAATATAATCAGCAAATAGCATAGACTACGAGATTTCATCTAGTATTGTGTTGGTTACCTCATCTATAATTAGGGTTAGCTTGTTTTTCCTTCCTCTATGACTTGCCAAATTTTGCAAAATGGTTGAATTGGACCTGTATTTATGCATGCTATCTTTTAGTTTAGAAGATCTATTTGGAGTTTCTAGGAAGGAGGAAGAATCTCCATCTGATGTTAATTTACCCGGAGAAAGCATATGATAGCATATTTGGTTATGCTAAATTTCAAAGTGCCACAAGTCTGGCATGAAGATTTTTGTTGCAGCTTTATGATGAGAGCTTGAGTCAGAAAATTGGACAAAACAAAGTGGAATCTGATTATTAAGAATAAGAAGGGGCATGAACTATCAATGTGTATGGTATTGACTGTTGGGTGGCTTGGGCCTCTAAGGCCTAGAATATCCACTAGGTGAATGCCATATTAATGTGGATGATAAGACAGACGGTGTTATTATTATTATGCTAGCTGTAGCTTCTTCTTCAATTTTATTATTATTATTGTAGTATTTTTCACTTTGGTTATCTTTACTATTATTACTGTCATTACTTTTTGTTTTTCAATCATATCTTTTTGCTCGCCCGAGGGTTTATGGGAAACATCTCTACCCCACCCTCCCTAGACCTCACTTGTGGGTCTACACTGGGTATGAGGTTGTTGTTTCTAAGATAGATGTGTGGTTATACAAAACTGGACCAGGTTAGAAATGTTCAGTCAAATAGAGGATGCAAGTGACATAGAGAGGATTAGTGAAAGAATATTACCTGAAATAGTTTCAACATATCCTAAGCAGACTTTGGGTCTGTGCCTGTGGATGCAATACTATAATGATTCAAATTATGAAGGTATAGAATAGCAATTGCTGCAAAAGTCGATAAATCAAGGTGGATTAGTTAAAAGCACAAAGGAAGTAAAGGATCTATAAAATCGCTCATTTTAGTTGGGATTGAGGCTACGTTTTTATTACATTCACGGTTGGTTCAGTGTTATCTTTTGGTATTCTTAGTCTAGTTATAGATTTGCATGTCAATGCAGGAATGAATGTGAGTTTTAGATTATTTCTAGTTTTGAAGAACCTCTGTAGTAGAGAACAATGATACATAGGATTTATGTAATGTAACCTATCTATTTCAGAATTGAGGGATACTTGTTGTTTAGAGAGTTATCTCCCAGTCTCCCACACTTCTTGAGTATTTTTGTACAGTTGGAAGAACTGGTGAACCGTGTGAGTTGGTTTGAATAAGAAGTATGTAGGACAGATGGCTTGAGTACACCTTTTCATATATCAAGCCTTTTCTTCTCTTGGTAGTGACTCACCTTTTGAGCAGTTTTTTCCTTGTTGAGACTGCCGATGATTGATGTTATTTCCTTCATAGAGCTACTATTAGCAGGTCTCGGGATTTTGTGATGGGAAAAGAATGAATACACACGCTCATCAAATTAAGAATTTAAGATGACTTGTCAGCTGCTTTCTTTTCCTCCAAATCTCAAAAATACTAGCTCATACTATTGAAAATTTGAAATTGTGCAGTTTTTACATTTCATATAGATTCTGTAGAGATACATGGCAAAGTGGTACCGCATAGAAGATATGTGAAAATACTAATTTTGGCACATAAATCATCCAGATCGGAGAAGTTGAAAGACATAATATAATAATGAATTAATTAATAAACATTCAACCTTACCAGGTTAAAAAAAAAAAGAATTAATTAATAAACATTAATAATTCAAAAAAGAAAAGGTTGGATGACACTCTGATTATCAAATGTTCAGATATCACTAATTGTGTATAAAACTCACAGGTACAAGAACATAACCATCCTCATATTCTTCTTCTGCAAATTGGGAACACATTTTGCAAGCTCCCAGGTGGACGCCTAAAGCCAGGAGAAAATGGTGTGTTCTTGTCTTTATTTGTGACACATTGATTCTTATCATACTATTAAAAATTAAATTAAATTAAATTCTTATCATACTCTCTCCCTTTGTTTTTCTGTTAAGTTGTGAATTTCTTGTTAAGTTTCTATGTTTTTCTTCTCTCTTTCGTTATTTGCAGAAATCGAGGGTTTGAAAAGGAAACTCTCCAGCAAACTTGCAGCTAATCCTCCTGCCAATCAGCCAAATTGGAAGGTAATTTGGTGCCTGTTACACTGTTTAGTAGTCCCTCTGTTTTAATTTGTCTGTTTTACTTTTCATTTTTAGTCTATTTAAAAAAGAGCGTCTCTTTCCTAATTTGGAAACTCTTTAATTTCAACATCCCATGTAGCATGTTTAAGGTCACAAGATTAAAAGACATTTTGGTACATTATACAACTCTTTAGTTTAAGACCACAATATTTAAGAGTCTTTTTACTTTCTTAAATTTCGTGCCAAGTCAAACTAAGACAAACAAATTGAAACATAGTAGTTTTTTTTTCTTTGTATAAGAGATATAGGGGTATGGAGGTATTCAACACACTTTGTGTTGTATGGAAATAGTGATAAAAGAAACGAGGATTGGACATCTTTTTATGGTATAAGGTGAAAGTTCGCCACTATCACGCCCCGAGCCTACACCCTGGGAGAGACTGGCACTTGAGAACCATTGCTGGCCCTAAGCAAATCCTTGGCCTGGCTTAACTCTTAGCGGAAGGCTTACTGATAATAAAAGCACTTTAAAAAGTAACTATAACTCAAATGATAAATTAGAATGTTTTAGAAATAAAATTTCAACTAGCCAAAGTGGCAACTCAAGTCTCAACATAAACGAAAGGAAATGAAAAGGCTCATGAACTAATAATGTCTAACTATCTATGAAGTCTCTAATACTATGAGGGATGTCGGGACAAAACCCCTGATCATTCCAACAACTGAAATGACAAAACACACCAAAGGGATCCTCCGGAAGCAAGGAGACTCACCACCAACTCTGAAGCTTCAACTGGATCAACAAAGCGCTGGATGCTGATCTTGGTTACCTGTATCTGCATCATAAAAGATGCAGGCCAAATGGTGTCAGTACATGGAATGTACAAGCATGTGAGGGGAAATCTAAACAAGAATAAGCTTGAACTGGAATTGCAAGGAACACTTACCTCGTCTTGACTTAACTCATCTCAATATAAAGGAGTAATAAATCTGCAATAAAAAGAAAAAACTTGAAAACATGTAGATAACAACTCAGTGTATTGAAAGACACAATAATAACTTAGTTTTGTATATGAAAATACAAGTAACTCTGTAGGAGATTCTCTAACCGACAACCATCACTATGACCTATGTGATGATACTGCACCGACAACCATTACTATGACCTATGTGATGATACTGCATCTCGCCCACGCTGCCAAAACTGTTCTATACTTCGCCGGGTATAGAACTCCTCAACTAAATGGATCCACTAGTCTATGCTAAAAAGCAATTAAGGAATCATCTAAAAAGTATGACCCTTTCTACCCACGTTGACTACATGGTTTATGGGGGCTGTGAGTTGTCTGAACTTTCCCTCATATCGGTGCTCAATACTACTCCCAAAATATAACTAGCTCATATGTTTAAAAACATAACTCTTTTTGTGTTTTGAGATTATTACTCAAAAATCTTTCTCTTAAAAGAGATGGTACTCAAACTGCTCAAAACTCTTTTGGAAATCTCAGTTTCCTCTCATCTTAAATATAAAAACATTACTCTTGGGAATACTTAGTTTCCATATATCATTTTAAAGAAAATAAACTCAGCTCTACTCTTTCTCAACTCAGTGCTCAAGTCTAGAAAACAAGTTTTAAAACAATTTGTTAAAAGACTTCTTAAAATAGGGTTCATGCCGAATTATGGACGAACGACTCAATTCAAGGTTTTTAATAACCATGCATAGAACTCAATACTTGGAGCACAACAACTCCAAAACTCAAGGAGTCAATGATACTACTCATCTCAAGAATGCTCGACTCGGAGGGTTCATGTGGAATTATGAGTATGAACTACTCAACTCAAAGATTCAATGATACTTCTCATCTCAAGACTGCTCGACTCATAGGGTTCATGCGGAATTATGGGCATGAATGAACTACTCAACTCAAGGACCTTCATAGGTAACATGTAGTAATCCCATGATTAGGAATATAATCTCAAAAGGATTAGGAACTCAATAATCAAGACTTGGAACTTGAAGACACTACTCCTCTCAAATATTCTCAAATTATGGAGTTCATGCGGAATTTATGGGCATGAACGACTCGACTCAAGGATCTCAATGATAAAGTAGACTCATGAATACATTTTCCTCATTCTCATACTCACTTACTTGAGTCTTGAAACAATTCACAAGTAGTTGTAGAAAACTTCTCAAAAAGACTCAAAGGGACTTTCTCAAAATGTTCGAAGGAACTCTCAAGGCTTAACTCTTAATTCTACCTTGAATTTGAATTATGAATTCAAGGTTGTGATTCATGTTATGAATGATTTCTAGGTGTTTAGAAGTAGTTTAGAGTGTTTAGAATCGATAGGGTTTGAAGTTACCTTTTTAAAGGATTCAAACGGGCAAAACGACGAAGAAGGGGTGGGGGCAGGCGACCCTGGCGCACTGAGTGGCGCAGGGCGCCAACCCTCTACTTACAGAGGTGTGGTTGGGGCGCACTGGCTGGCGTAGGGCACCAGGCCCCAACCCAGAAAACCCCGACGACTTTTCTTTCTTGTTTTCTAATCCTAACTCACCTAGAATCGAATGGTTTCTTCCCTAATCACTTAGATTCGAATACCCAACCAAAGTACACAAGAATCTACGCAAAAAACTCTTAAAAATCCATACAATTATCTCAAGAACTCATCGAAACCCCAACAATCAAGATTACGAAAGGAATTTCAAGAAAACACTTCAAGAACTCAAATTCTTCAACTTTAAGAACAAATTTGCACGGAAAATAACATGATTGACGTGTGGGTGAATGAACCCAACACTATGAGAACTCACATACCTCTTAGGATAAAATCCTTGGCGAAAACCCCTCGATGATCGTAAGAATCTTGATCGTCTTGAACCTTCCCTCTTTTCTCTTCTTGAACTCTCTTCTAAAACCCTATGTGTTTTGGATTTATGAAAAACTGACCCAAATCAGATTTGTCCCCAAAATATTACTAAAATTCGTTTTAAGCTAATTGAGTAAGGAAAATACCAAAATACCCCTCCTTAGTTCGGATGGAAAGACCCTATCTAGAGAGGCTGCACTCAAACGGTCATATCTCCCTCATCCGAGCTTGAAATTTAGCAAACTCGGTGGCGTTGGAAAGAGATCTCGGAGATCTTTCATTTGATACCTTAAGGGTCTCCTAACTCATCCTGTGCTAAAAGTTTTGGTCGTTTGACGTTGACCCAAAACTTAGAAGAACCTAGGAATGGCTTGAATGAATTTCTCTTTAGTTCTTTTGGAACTCAAGGTGCTACATCTAGTGACCTTAACACTTAAGAAAATTAAAATCCTCGCTAAAATCCTACTCACAATGAAGGATGGTTCGAGTCTTAGCTCAAAAAATTTCTGGGGTGTTATAGCCACATGGTTAATTTTGAAGTACAATTTGTATAGTTGAATATATAGGTGTTAAATGGGCTGGCTGGTTCAAATAGACTAAGAGCGTGTTTGGATTGACTTAAAGTTGGTCAAACTTACTTTTAAGTCAATTTTAGCTTTTGAGAATGTTTGACTAAGTTGAAAATAACTTAAAATAAGTTAAAAATGACTTAACAAAAGAAAAGTTAAAAGTAGGTACTCCCCTACTTCTCATTTTTTAACTTAAAAGTTACTGAAGTTTGACTTTATAAAAACAACTTTAAAAACTACTTTTTTTAAGTTAATCCAAACGGGCTATAAGTTGATAAATAACCTGGCCGAAAGTTACTTGGGCTGAAATGGGATAAAAAGTGTGTCAAAAGCCAACCAGCCCAATTATTACTTGGCTTTATTTGTTCTTATATAAGGTATAACTCTCTCTCTCTCTCTTTTGAAATTTAAATAAATACATATTCCTATGATGTGGCATTTGTAAATGCAGATAGGTGAGTGCGTGGCCACCTGGTGGAGGCCGAACTTTGAAACCATAATGTATCCATACTGTCCTCCACACATAACAAAACCTAAGGTACAGTAGTATCAAGTTTTTCTGATAGACTGATCTATCCCGTTGTTTCATGAATCACTGATCTATCCCTTGTTTCATATTTGCCTGATTTAATTGGCTCTCTGAATGTCGTGCAGGAGTGTAAGAAGCTCTACCTTGTTCACTTATCTGAAAGAGAGTACTTTGCTGTCCCCAAAAATCTAAAACTTCTTGCTGTGCCATTGTTTGAGCTTTATGACAATGTTCAGGTATAGAATGATTTATGGTTTCTCTGTTGCCTCCTATTCTGTTCTTTCAAGTTAGTTTGCATATAAGAACACTGTGATCAAAGGTTCCTTTACAGGATTGTGTTATCTGGTGTAACCTTTCAACAGCGAGTACTATTCATATATGCGACCATCTTTATAATATTTTCTCATCATACTGATGCTCTCCTAATTCATGGCAGAGATATGGACCTGCAATATCTACAATTCCTCAACAGCTTTCCAGATTGCAGTTCAACATGATCCATCAATAGATAGTAGATGGACATTCAAGTTCTCCTCCGGGATAAAATGGCATCAAAATGATTTGGTTTGGTTCCCATAGTTTGAGGGTGACTGAGGCCTACTCCATGTAATTTTATAGCATAAACTTATACATGTATATGTGTATTTAAAAATTTTAATTGCCCATACATATATAGCTTCTGCTTTGAAAACACATAGATACATATACATACAGTTGACTACAAATAAAATTACACTCTGATACTTCATTCGTGGGATTTTAGCCACTGCACCCCTATTCCAGAGTTAGAGATCAATGAAAGCTCATTCAACTGAATCATAAGCTTTCTGTAGGTCCATCTTAATCATACCTGTGAGAGCACAAGTGCCATTATTGTATAATCTCCAATTCTCTTCTCTGGGATGAACCCTGTATGTGAATAATTTCTGATGTGAGGTGTAATGCTCTTTATTCTAGATGCTTTAACACCTTTGAGATCAACTAATATATCATAATTGACCAATCCTTTTATATGAAAGTGGGCATTAAGTCCATCTAGCTCAGAAACTTTATCATCCCCTCAAATATCTTTCTTCTCTACACAAATCTATTTGTTGCCATTACTCACTGGTGGTAACGATTGAGTAAAATTGAAGAATCTCACTGCTAGTTTTTTGCCTCATAATACTGGAGCAATCAATCAAATTAATATGTTTATTCATCACGTACCTTCTCAGTCCCTTCTTCTTATACCTTCCTTTTATTGGTACTAACCAACTCACATAGTTTTGGGATGGGAAAGTTTGGACAGGGGAGGTTAGCAGTGTGGGAGCTTACTTTATATCCTGCAAGTTTACAAGTAAAAGTTTTGGCTTCACCTGGGTACTTACTGGCATCTATGCTCCAAATAGTAGAGAAGAAAGAGAAGAAGTTTGGTGGGAAGTTGGGTCAGCTAGAGGTCTGTTCAACGGCCCTTGGGTAGTTTGTGGGGATTTCAACACAGTTAGATTCTCCTCTGAGAAGAAAAATTGTTCAAGGATTTTTCTTACCATCTTAACTAGCTTATTGTGGTCTAGAACTTTTACATGTTCATAAAGATACATCCAGTCTCCATTGCCTAGAGTTTTGTCCATTCTGCTAATTACCTTGCCAACCCCTAATTTACTCATGTTTCTTTCTACTGGAGCAATCAAATTAAAATGTTTATTCATCAAATACCTCTCAGTTCCTTCTTCTTATACCTTCCTTTTATTGATATTAACCAACTCATATAGTTCCCCCAGACTCAACACTTGTTCTTCGATTTGCAATGTAGCATAATATTTGCTGGTTGTAATTTGGTTATGCTCTTGAATCTATTTCAGCATGTCAGTGGAAGCTTGTATCTTCCCTTTTGACTTGACTGCAGTTTACCATTCCTATTGTGCTTTAATTTCACCCGTCTTTCAGTCATGTGTTGCACTAGTGGTGTCTGAGTTAGCAGCACATTATGCGTTTGATTATTTGAATGTGTAGCAGCAATTCCCTTTGTTGGAGTATGGAGAATTCTTGATCCATGTTTGCAATATTACTAGGCCCCATAACACATTCTTTGTTTGTTCCACAACCTTTTCTTTCCCTTTGTTGACTTGGCCTGTACCTTCTGTTGAATGACCCTAAATGTTAAAAAAATGGCGTGACTCAGGGCGAGCCTAGATATTGTTGTTGGGTTTTGGGCCTTTTTCCCTTCCTATGTGGATAAATAAAAGTCCAAGATTTTGGGTCTTCTTCCTTTCCTTTGTGGATAAATTTAGCCCAAATTTGACTAGCCCACTTTTGCTCATAAGTCCAATATTATGGTGCATATGTAAGACTTTTTTTTAGGTCTTATTAGATGAATCACAAGAATTAGATCAGCAGCCATATAGAGAGAATAGTGAGAGAGTGCAGATTTTCGCACAAACCCTAGCAACAAATTTCAAATCGCGATTCTTGCTTCATTTCTTATCCGATTAAGCTGATTTTTGGACAGCTTGTTCCTTTCAACTTGATCTTTGATTAGGAACTGAGAGAGGGTGATTTGGAGTTCTGTAGCTCCAGATTTTTGCTCGTGAACAGTAGTTGCGTATTGGATGTTTTAGCTCATTTTATTTCTCTAGTTTTTGGTGCTATCTTATAGTTGTGTTGCTCATTGTTTGACATTTTGTTGGTGACCATTTTGGAGAACACTTTTGTAAGTCTTGTTGATTTTGGTGGAGCTTGGCCTTGTGGTTTTTACTCTTCACACCGAAGAGGTTTTCCACGTTAAACTTTGGTGTCTTGTGTGTTGATTTATTTTTCTTGCTTGGTTGATTTATTTGCTACCCAAACAGTTTTGTTCTTGCATTATTTTGTCTTCTCTTGCTTCAAATAGAAGGGAAAGTTTTGACTTGGGTTTTCTTCCGCTATTGCCTTGTCGTGCACATTTATTTTGTGCTTGCCTTTCCCAACAATTGTTCCCTCGGATGGCCTTGTAAAGTTTTTGCAAGAAAGGTTTTCGAAACTCATATCACTAAAATAATTATGTACTAACATATACGAAAATTTGAGAAAATCGTCTAATTCCTGTTAGTTGCCCCTAACTGCTAAAAAAGTGTCGTGAATCTAGTGAGATTATATGTATTGTTTCCCTAGGTCATTACAAAAGGTTTTGTAAAAAAATTTGCAAGAAGGTTCCTGAAATTTATATCACCAAAAAATTCATGTACGTTATACACAAAAATTTGAGAAAATCACCTACTTTCTTTGAGTGGTCCTTAAACTCTAAAAGTGTGGCATCAACCATGGTGAGATTAAAAGTATTGTTCTCCCAAGTCATTACATAGGATCTTATAAAGTTCTGCAAAAAAAAAAGTGCCCAAAATTCGTATCATCAAGAGCTTTAGGTAGTAACTCACACGAAAAATATATATGAGAAAATCGGCTAATTCTCGTTGAGTGACCCTAACTGTTAAAAAAGCGACATGAATCATGGTGATACAATAGGTATTGTTCCCCTAGGTCATTAAGGAGGCCCTGTAAAGTTCTTGCAAAATAATTTCTTGAAATTCATATCACCAAAAAAATCATGTACTAACACACATGAAAAATTGAGAAAATTATCTAATTCTTGTTGAGTGGCCTCTAAAAGCTTACAAAGTGTCGTGAATCATGGTTAGACTATAAATAGTGTTCTCCCAAGTTATTATAGAGGGCCTTGTAAAGTTTTTGTAAAAAAAGTGCCCGAAATTCATATCACCAAAAACTTCATGTACTAAAAAACACAAAAACTGAAAAAAATCTCCTAATTCTTGTTGAGTGGTCTTAAACGCTAAAAAAAATGGTGTGAATCATGGTGAGGCTGCATGTATTGTTCCCCCAGGTCATTAAGAATGGTCTTGTAAAGTTTTTGCAAGAAAATTTACAAAATTCATATCACTGAAAAATTCATGTACTAACACACACGAAAAATTGACAAAACCGTCTAATTTTTGTTGGGAGGCCCCTAAATGCTAATAAAGTGGTGTAAATCATAGTGAGACTATTGTTCTCCAAGGTCATTACGAAGGGTCCTGTAAAGATATTGCTAAAAAAGTGTCCAAAATTTATATCACCAAAAACGTTCATGTACTAACTCACATGAAAAAAATGAGAAAACCGCCTAATTCCTGTTGAGTGGTCCCTAAATGCTAAAAAAATGGCATGATCATAGTGACACTATATGTATTGTTTCCCCAGATCATTACGGAGGGTCCTGTAAAGTTTTGGCAAAAGAAATTCTCAAAATCCATATCATCAAAAAATTCATGTAATAAACACGAATAATTGAGAAAATCGCTTAAATCCTATTGAGTGACCTCTAAATGCAAAAAAGTGGTGTGAATCAAAGTTATGCTATAGGCATTGTCCCCCCAAGTCATTATGGAGGGTTTTGTAAGGTTTTTGCAAAAAAAGTGTCAGAAATCCATATCACTAAAACTTCATGTACTAGAAAGAGTTAGAATTGGAAATAGTCATTTTAGGAAAGAATGAAAAATCTGGAAATTTGTTAAGTTATGTTAAGTTTGGGTTTTGTAAACTTCAAACGACCATAAATCCTAGCGTATGATGCATTAGGTGTGCTTCCAGATATTGTAGGAAAGATCTTGGAATAATCTTTCCAACGCCACCGAGTTTGCGTGATTCCGAGTTTGTATGAGTGAGATATGCCTATTTGAAGTTGGGCTGTTCGATTGAGGAAAGTCTAATTCGGATTTTGGAAAGGTATTTAGCCTTTTCCTTACCCAATTATTTTAATTCGTTTTTAGGAGTTTATTTGGGGTCTAATCAGAATTAGATCAGTTTAGTCAATTGGAAATTCACGCTAGGGCTTGGAGAAAACAAAAAAAGGAGAAAAGAGAAGAAAGTTCAATATTCGACGATTTCTTAGAGAATCGCTTGTGGATTTCGTCAAGGGGTATATCCCTACGAGGTATGTGAGATCAAATAGCGTTGGGTTAGTTCATCCATGCACCAATCATGATTCAATTCAGCGAAGTATATTGATTTGAAAGTAAATCTTATCATTTCTTAATGAAATTCATTTGAAATCTTGTGGGTTCTTGTCGTTGAAGTTCCTTGAGTTTGATTCATGATTTTAGGTGTGATTTCGAGTAGAATCTGATGTATGTTAATGGTTTGGTTGATTCTAAGTGTTTGGGGAAAGAACTAAGTCGAAATAAAGGGGTTTAGAGATGAAAAATGAAGAAGAAAAGTCGGAACCCACCTGGGTAGGGGCCTGGCCAGAGCGCCCCAAAAGGGGCTCTGAAGTTTGGGCTTTGGGGAGCTGCGCCAGCCAGAGTGCCCCAACCCAGCCCCTGAAGTTTTGCCGCTGGCACCCCATGTCGCTCAGAGCGCCAGGGACGCCAGATTTCCCACCCTTTCCCCTTCTTTCCGTATTAGTTCCATAGCAACGTACCTATGTTTTCTAGTTGATTTTTATACTCTAAGGTATGTTTAAACATCATGAAATCATCCATAACATGAGATCATGAACCTTGAATCCATAATCCAATTCAAGGAAAGTTAAGATCAAAGTCAAGAGAAATAAGAGTCAAGTCAAGAAAAGTTCTTCGAGTTTTCCAAAAGTCCTTTCCAAATGTTTTAACTTTGTTTTAAGACTTAAAGTTCAAGTTGAGTAAAGAGTAAAGAGTAAATATTGAAGTTCATTTCTTCTAAAGTATATGGGGACTATGTATTCCCAAAGAGTTTAAAATGTTTTCACATTTAAAT